AGCTGGCTCGGGTTTAAGTCCAATTTGTAGCAAACGAAAATGATTATTATTTACTGATGTCATTCCAAACCTCTATGACTTTTTTCTTCTGTAAAAAATTAAAAGGCTTTCATGCTACAAAACTGAAACAAAAGCACCATAAAAGTGGGCTTGCGCACTTTATTGTTAACTTTATAATGTCATTTATTCCAGCCCATTCTCATTTTGACCATGCTTCAATATCTGACGCTTTAGGGACCCTTTAGCGTCAGTTAGATGACGCCCTAGGATCACGTGTAACCCCTACCCCTACCCCAGTAGGATCGCGTCATGTAACTGATGCTAAAGGGCGCCTAAAGCGTTGAATATTGAAGCATGGTCAAAAGGTGACGCCTTGGAGTGAGAATGTAACATCTGGCTTTTGAATAACAGTCAGAGTAGCCTAAAAGATGGCAGAATTTTATATACATACCTTATATACTCACTACCATTCAAAACGTTTCAGTAAGAGTTGATTACTGTGCGTGCAAAGGCTGCATTTATTTGATTAATTAAAATGTCAAAAACAAGAAAGTAGATGTTAAAATTTCATGCTGATTTGTACTCGGCTTTAGCCAAGATAAGCACAGACTAAGGTGTAGTTTTACAATAAACTATGCTTCTATATCCATTTATGCTTCTTTCCGTATGGTGATGTGACTCTACTTCGGTCCGGCATTAACGGCCGCAGCGTACTTGGCGCGTCAGCACACACGACGGCTGCAACTACAGTGTAGTCTTCCTAGCGGACCAGCACAACAACCGTCTGGATTGTCTAGATACCTACTGCAGCTTTAATAGAAATTTGAAAAGAACAGCATTTATTTGAAATATAAAAATTGTTGTACAATGTTAAAAGTTGTTTCAAAGTTTATTCATCTTTGAACAATTTAATGAATCTTTGCTGAATAAACGTATTAAAAAAAAATCTTAATGACAGTACAAAATGAAGTGGATTTTTCTTTCAGTGTTGATCCAGTGTCAGTCTAGCAACAGCGGTGAAGCACAACATGAGTCCATTGAGATACGAGCTCACTACTAAGCCTGCGAGGCTTTTGTGTACAGCAGTTCAACTCTTAATTGCAAGAAAAAATAGGCGCAGTCCTCCACTTACCAAAGAGGCGGATGTTGCCATAGAAACGGTACAGTACTTCAAGGCTTTAGCAAGAGACAGGCCTTGGGTTTGATTGGCCTGGAGGTCTGACCGCAGGGGAAAGAGACCAGACACAACTCTGGTATTACAGAAAACCCAAGGATAGATGTTATAAATACTGCAGTGCTTGATATTGACCACATGCAGCTGTAGAGCTTCCAATACTCATATAGCTAATGCGTCGCATAACTGCATATCATTTAGCACTTATGTTTTAGTGGGTGTTTTCTCAAGAGGGAAAAAAATGAACATATAGAATTCAGAAAGCTACTTTATAAGGACTTTAATGTGTTTTTCCCTTCAACTGTGCCTTAGGCGATCCACAGCCAAGAATCAATCAAAAATACCAATGAGCTATACAGGCCAAGAGTTTACTGCGGTATTTGTGTTGTCAGAACACTTCTAAAAAATAGCTATTTAGCTATAAATAAATAAATAAACATACCACTGACCTTACACTTGGGCAGAAGTCCTAGACTGAAAACAAAATGACTAGCAAACAAAAGGAACCAAAGCTCTTCATACCGACAAAACAAATTGTGTTATTATCTGAGCTTGTTATTTTAAACTAATGACATATTCTTCCATTCTTTGTGGGGGAAAAAAAAAAAACATTTAATGTGGTCAGACCAGTGTGAAGCTATCTGTATCCCTACAGCAATGTTTGTTGTTTGTTTAATAGAATCATTTAAATTATTATATATATATATATATTTTTTTTTTTTATCAGGCATTAAACAAGGGCATCTTTCCTCACATCGTTTTGTATGGCCCTCATAATAATGAAACTGTTAGGATGGGCAAGCTTTTGAAAAAAAAAATATATATATATATATATAAAATTTGTATCTGTATGACCTTTTTGTTTCTTTGTTCTAACACGAAGGTCAAAAATCGACGTGCCAGAAAGGAATACAAAGGAAAGTAAATAACACTTTAATGCTTGCAGAGTGATAAGATTTTCATTCAGGGAGTTTCAAAAGTTCAAGAAGCTGCAGGTGAACTGCACTTCAGTGGTTTACTAATACAGTGTATTCATTACTCTGTAAACACAGTCTGTATGACTCTTCCAGCATCATTCACAGGCCGGGAGGGATGTGGGTTAGCAAGGCTAATCGTAATGTAGATTTCTATTGACTTGCCTATTGACGTTAGAGCTGCATGAATGCAAATGTGTGCTGTGTGGATTGTTTGTAGTGTTAGCTCTTACAGTCAAAGCTTTTCATTTTAAAAGGTCTCAGTGTTGTGGTGACAACAATTGACTGCTAATAAATTAAATTAGCAACTGTATACACAAGTGGTCTGTGGATGGAAAATAGGCTGCCTGTGTGCCATATTAAAAACTGCTTTTTGAGATTGTTCTTTTTTATAATTAATAAAAAGTGGCATTAAAAAGCTTCTTTTGGTTCTAAAAAGGACAGTGGATCACTTCTGCCACCTAGAGTCTCAGATAGTTAAAGCAGTCATCAAATAGGCAGCAACCCAGGCAATTTCATCAGTTTTTTAATGTTAAAATACTTCCAAGTCAGCTACTGTTTTATGTACAAAAATAGATTGCAAATCGACTAATTATATTCTGGAAAAATCACAACCTTTAATTTTTTTTTCTTTTGCATTACACTGTTTATGACAAGTCATCAGAGCTGTAATCCAATTAAATTAATTTGTCAGATTTATGTGTTAGATCAACATTTAAAAGTAAGCTATGTAACTTTTGTCCCTCTAGCGTATAAAAAAAAATTGCATGCATTTTGCGAAAAACATTATTTTGTTTGTGCTTTGACTGTTTGTGCGGATGAATTTGTTTATCCTACACATAAAACATTCTTTAGGCTTCTAGGTTTAAGAGATATAACCAGTTTAGCTGGAAATGAGCTCAAGCTGACTAGCTAAAGATAGCTTTACCCATTAAAATAAACAGTACTTCCTTGAAAATAAATTCAAGCACAGTGCTACAATCGTGGACCTAATATATACATAGACACCCTATTTGCCACTGGAGCGTTCGTCAACACCACCTTAATTATTCATAATTTCATGATTGAGAAAAATGCCGTTTCGTGGACTGCTTGGGGTTGTACAAATCGCCACACAATTGAAAACAGGTCTCGAGGAATTATCTTTCACAAGCAAGACTGAACATTTGTTTCTGGTTGTATTTGGTCATGATATAATTAGTAATAGTAACATTCAGAAGAAAAGCTGCGAAATTTAAAAATACTACTGTTATTGTGTCACCAAATGTATTTTAACAGTTTTTCAGTTGACAATGTGGTTGTTTAAAGCTCAAATCTGTGGTTTATTTATAAAGATAGCACCTAAATTTGATCTGACATTTTCGGAGTTGTGAGATCCAGGCGGTCACTGGGCGCTCAGCTCTATAAAAAAAATTCTGTAAAAATATGGTACAATGTACCATATAATTTAAAGGAATTTGTCTTTTACAGGTCATTTACCTGTATTTTGAATTACACGTTGCATTGGGTGAACAAGAAACTTTAGTTGCAATCTGGCATGTTTGGCAAATGAATGTCGGAGCCATCACGTTTATCGTTTTTATGCATATTGTCGCACATTGAAAGATTTAGTTCACAGTCGTGGAGGTTCTCGATTGTATATGTTGCAGTGTCCTTGTTGTAATTGGTTTATTTACTTTAATTTGTCGGAGATGCGGTTTATTTCTTGCCGGGTGTATCTGTTAACCAGTTTTGCTAAAGCTCAGTAACGCTACGTTACTAACGTTAGTGATTTTAGAGCAATAGTGAGAATTGTGAGATACAATACAAACAGTGAGATACAAAATACCTGAAGAAAATGGCACTTATCCAGGAGTTCATATAAAGGTATGCAACACATTTTTAATCAAATTATTTATAGAGTATGTTATTGTGATTCTGTTTTTTTAGTTGAAAATAATGAAACATAAGAATGTATAGTTGAGCATGCAGACAAGCTAACATGACATGCAATTGGAGTCCACTGGAAACAAAAGTCTTAATACAAAGACATCATATAGATAGGCGCCCTATCGACCGCTACTACCTATTGGTTCAGACGAGCTGTGGGGCCGCCATCTTAAACCGGTCATTCGCTCCACTCAGTATAATCTGTTTGGCAGGTGATATGAGCTGTCAGCGCATTTAATTCATCATATCTCACTGAATACTGAACTGATATTCATGCAGGGTTTTTTGCTGCAAAGGTCATACATGTAGCTATACAGGACACACGGGATATTTTATTCACAAAATACAACCAATAGTACGATAATGTTAAATCTTAAATCTTGTGAAAAGTAATTCCCGAGCGATAGTCCGCCGATTTGGGCAGGAATATGCTGCACAGTGCTCTGGCATCTACTGCTGCTATGCAGCACAATATGAATATGACCAGTTCAAGATGGCGGCCGGATTTCTCAGTGCCCAGTGGCCAATAGGGCATCTAGTCTCTATATCATATCTATGATTTCATATACAGTGCTTGAATTTGAGATAATTAGGGATGGCTGAAAATTTGTTTATAGTTGATAATTTAGCGAACATAAAATAGGATTAAAAATAAAAAAGGATTTCCATAAAGCAGGTCCCTGGCCATATGATGTCATTGACATCAATGACATTTTAAAAGACTTTTTAAAGGTTATAAGTGACTAATAAGTCATTTCTTTGCACCTCCTTTCAAAAACAACATTCAAATTACTATATCCTGAGAAAAGTGGATTTTCAGGGGTATAGCTCCATAGACCACCATTCATTCTGCACATGACCTGTCGCGCAACTCCTCCCGCACCTTTTGTCACATACCCACAAATGAAAAATACCTTACTCACCTGTAGAGTAATACAAATCTCTCCAAAAGCCATCCCATCCTGATTCTCGTTTTATTACGAGCTCTGTAGTTCCTGCGTTTTTTAAAACTGTTGATTCCCCGGAGGTTCGAGATTTAGCATGCTCCATGTCAACCTTTCTCACTTAAAAAAAAAAAAAAAAAAAAATCAGTAAAAAATAAATGACTATAAACTGCAGTAATGTTTATACATTTTATACCGACAGTGAAAAAAGAGAACAAATAAATGTATTAAAATTAAATAAAATTTTGTTTGAGTAGAAAACAGTAAGAAATAAAGTAGCAAAATTCCTCATAAATATGCCAGCTAATAAACATTTAATATAATGTAAAAGCAACAAACAAGATAAAATTTTGGGCCATGAACAGCTTTTTCCAAGAAAAAGAATCATTGCTCATTAAATGAACACTGCATTACATGGTTAAATGTGAGCCATACATGTCAAGAAACACTGTTAGTCCAGCTGTGGAAAATGTACCATTGTAAGTGCTTCTAAGAGTTCAAGTGAAATTTCTATGGAAAAAAAAAAAAACAGGTTAAATCGTTTTAAAGACTGGAAGAGCTGTTCTCCACACTATAACACAAAACAATCTTAATGGTTCATTTTTATAATGACACTGGATTTGACAATCAATTAATGCCCAACAATTAAAAAAATCCAGCCTTAAAATGATTTACCTTGACATTTCCATTTCAGCAAACAACAGAAAAGACCTTCAAAAGGTGCTCCTTGTGATTTCATTGTCCCTGTAGAGAGATAAGAACACATTTTTTGAAGTGTCTGTTTCTTGCACTCGAGTCAATAAACGTCTTCCCGCAGTTCTGACAGATGTGAGGTCTCTCTCCCGTGTGGATCCTGATATGTGTGTTCAGGTGGCTGGATTGTCTAAAGTTTTTCCCACAAAAGTTGCAGTGGTAGGGTTTCTCTCCAGAGTGAATTCTCAGATGAATTTTCAGCAGTCCGGGTGAGCTGAATCTTCTGCGGCAAACGACACACAAATACTCTCCTGTACCGTGTGGATTTCCTTGAATGTCTTGATGCTGCGGGTAACTTTCAGATAGTTCCTCTTCATGCTGAACGTCTTCCAAACAAATGTCAGCCGGGTTTGTCTTGGATTCTAAAGAAGAGGCAAAATTACAGTTTTACGTTCATCCCGTGCATCTAAAAGAGAAGACGCCATATCTGACCAATACTTCTTTAAAACGTCATTATTACATTGATTTTGAATTAGTATTTAAAATGTCCTTACGCATTTGTTGTTGTTCTTTATCAAGTGCCACTTCTTCAATGTGCCGGATCTTCTTTATTCTGTGCATTTCCTCATTTTCACTCTTTTTCCTCTTGTTTCTTTCCCACTGTGATTGCAATTTACTTGTGGGAAAAAGAAATACACATTACTTTGATTAAAGCAGCATTTATTGATGAGATTTATCAGGGGGAAAGGCTCCTATAATACTGTAGGCCTATTTTTTGTTGGGTTATTCTCACGACAATGCAATGTCCAAATAATATAAATATTTATACTTGGCACATAGCGAAACCGCTGTACTTAAAATAAAATTAATATTTCTAGTTCTCAACAAAAAATGTTTTAAGTATTTTTGAATTTTCCTAAAGTTGATGTATGTTGACATCCACCATATTTTATTTAAAATGTCCAGTGTATTTTCGCCTGTCTTATCAAAGCAATGGCAAATTAATTATATTGAATGCATTTGACTTCACTCACACAGCAAAAAGAGCAAGCACACTGCATGGAACTGCTTAATTCACCTTTTTTATTTCAAAATTCAAGATCATAAAAAAAAAATAATGTTTCAAATTACTTGGTCCATTTTCTAAAATATATAGTACATTAAGAAATGTATTACACTGATGACATGGAATGAATATATATTTGATAGCATTTTTATCAGAAACCTCATGCACAGTTTAGTTTTTTATGGAATATTTGCATTTTCGCAGGTGCTTTAAAACACATGAAATACATAGATTTTAACATTAAGTGCATTTTCTGCAAATAGTACCAATGACTTTGCCATTGGCTAGTGACATGCTCTACCAGTTGAGTTACAGGAACACAAGTCTATTTTGCACATATTTCTAAAAGGCACTAATGTTGAGCAGAGGTGGTCGGCACTGGCTCTGGGGTGATTTGATTAAAGTCTTCTTTAATGTTGTCTAAAACCTCCTGAAATGATTTCTTTTTCCTGTAAGCAGCAGAATTGTTCCTCCACCTTTTCTGTTGCCTTCTCAATTCTAACGGGCTCAGATCTTTAGCGAATTTCACTTTCCCCTGAGATTTTCGTCTTTGATATCTACAAAAATGAGAAATATCAAGGAGTCAGTGTCTAAAAAGCTCAACTAAAGCTGATTTTCACATAAAGACCCCATTTCTAAATACACTGCAACATATGTCACAAGCAACCTGTAAAGTAAAGCAGTGGTCCTCAAAGTGTGGAAGCAAGATGATATTATAAGGGGGACAGCTCTATCTGAGATATATATATATATATATATATATATATATATATATATATATCAGATAGATATCAGATCTATCTATCTATCTATCTATCTATACACATCTATACACAATTGGGTCAAATATGGACAAACCCAAATGTTGGGTTAAAAATGTAATTTCAAATTTTATCCCAACTTCAACTTTCGCTTTCAACTGTACATTTTATTGCATTTTTAACCCAACATTTGGGTTTGTCCATATGAGTGTGTATATATATATATATATATATATATATATATATATATATATATATATATATATGCAGTTATGTTGAACACTTTAATTTTAAATCACAGAAAGATGACTGGATTATGGTGGGTTGCATAATTTATTTTAAAAATTTTAAAGGGATACCTGACTAAAATGAAAAAAGAGAGAACTGCTTCTAAATGGGGCCAGTACAATTATTTTTAAAATAGGTACTCACCAAGGCTCCATTTATTTGATCAAAAACACCGTAAAAATTAGTTTTATTGTGAAATATTACAATTTAAAGTGACTGTGACCATTTTATTTACATGGTTCTTTTACATAACCTTATTCTTGTGGTGCTTCATATTTTTGTGGAAACCATTATACATTTTTATCAGGGTTTCTTGATGAATAGAAACACGAATATCACCACAAAAAAAGTCTTTACTGTCATTTTTGATCAATTTAATGCCTCACTGCTAAATAAAAGTTAAAAATATTAATTTCTTTTTTTTTTTTTAAATGACACTGACCCCTAACTTTTAAACGGTAGAGTATTTATTAAGAACACACTTTCAGTTGTTACTACACCAATGCATTATGTACTTGCATTAGTAATAAAGTATCTAAGCTACAGTTACTCCTGAACAGTATAGTTCCTCATGTAAGCTGCAGTATACCTCTCTCTCTCCTTTTTCCTGTATGCATCACGAAGCTCAGGATTCCCGTACACTTTCTGCCTGTGCTTTTGGGATCTAGCGCTTGCTGCAGCCTTCTTTTGCTCTTCATCAGCCAGTCTAAACAACAAGAAAGATTTGACCTTAAAAAAGGAACTATCATATGTATTTGCTTCCTTAGGGCGATGTCCCACAAGCCAAATCAAAACAACTCTATTTTGGTAGGGGATGTCAAACCTGCAGACTATTTAAGCTAAGATCTCACCCTTTTCTGTCACAGGTTAAAAAAAGAAGAGGCTCTAACAGGCTAAATCACTGCCTCTGAGTTTGCCCTGAATGAGTGTGATTATTTTTATCCATCCAGGTCTTGCTGGAGATGGTGTGCAGGAAAACCTCTGAAAACCGTGTGAAAAAAGTCATTTCCTAGGCCACAATTGTCCAATCAGACATGTTGGATATTGTCGGAGACCAAGAAGGGCCATTAACATCCACCTTCTACCTGAGAGATATAAATACAGCTTCAAAAATCTACCTGGAAATATATGCTGAAAAAATGGCTAATGGGATGCCACCCCTGCGTTCACATGTGTATGGCTGAAGGAGAATGGAGTTTGTAGTCAAGCGTGACTGTGACTATAATCATAATATAGCAACTTATTGCTTAATGTACATTATATAGTTCAAACTTCTGTTTAACACAAAAGAATATCTTTTAACAAATGTTGGTAACTAGAAAGTTGGTGTTAGCCACTGACTTCTATAGTATTTGGAAGTCAGAGGCTACTGACAACTGTCTGGTTACCAACATTCGTTAAAATATATTCTTTTGTGTTAAACAAGTTAAATATATGCTTTAACATGAAGTTCTCTGACATAATTCATAAACGTTTTGACATAAACGTTCACATTACTAATTAAAACGGTCTAAAGCGTTTATGCGGTTTTGAGAAATATGTGCAAAAGTAAAGAAAGTCATTCGATTTAAATAAGCAACTAACAGTACTGTAGTTACAGTACAGCAATATTTATAAAATAGTAAATATGATTATGGTGTGGTTGACCAGGATATGTTCTGATGCATATGTGATAATCACCCAAGAAGACTACTAACCAAAGCATCTGAAAATAAAATATATTTCATTTTTGGAGACACTGTTTTTAGTATAACACTGACTGTAGGCAGCCTGAAACAATACATTTCTATTTACATAAAACTTAGTTTAGAGCTCAGCTGACAAAGGAGTGTCACATTTGAGCATTATTAGCAAGTTACATGTATGACAGGCAAAGGATTTGTGGCACATTAATTTAAATACCGGTAGAATACGTTGAATCAAATCAACACGGATAAAACACTAAAGAATTAATTCAAGTACCTTTCCCTTTTCTGAGCCAGCTCCATCCTATGCTGCGTCAACATCTCTTGATGTCTGAGGGGCAGCTGTAAAAACAAAGACATCAATCAGCTCACATTTATAGCGACACATTATAGCTTACAATTCATTCTGAGATATAAACTTAGAATTGCGAGAAAAAATACAGAATTGTGAGATAAAAAGTTTATTTGACAATTCTGACTTTGTCACAATTTCCAATCCAGTTTACACCTCACAATTCTTAGAAAAAGCCAGAATGGCGAGCTTATATCTTGCAATTCTGACTTTTTTCTCTGGATTTTAAGATAAACTTGCAATTGCGAGTTATAAAGTCTGAATTGCAAGATTTAAACTCAGAATTGCAAGAAAAAAAAATCAGAATTGTGAAATAAAAAGTCATATATATCTTTTTAAATCAGTGGAGGAAACAATCTCCCAGTTTGTTTAACATAAACACAGACTTACATAAAATTCTTGTGTCTTATGTCTGGGGCTAATGTGGCTAACTTTGATTTTGCTGACATCACTGGATGCATCACTGGCCCCTGAATCATCCAAGACGTGTCTTGTGATGTGTTGCTGTGCCTGACAGGTGGTACCTGTTTCAGTATTAGTCTCAGGTTCATTCTTAATTTGAGGTGCTTCATTAATAAATGGAAAAGTATTCAAGCTGCTGTCCATCATTTGGGTTTCAGTGTCTTTATTGGGCATCTGATCATGGTAAATGTCCATACATGGTGATAAAGATGCTGATTCACGGCACACAGGTACTTGCAATTCACTCTCCTCCTGCTGTGTATAAACTTCTAGCTTCATATGCATTTCTGTATCCTTCAAGTCATGTTCAGATCTCCATTCCTCAGAAAATGCCTGGGTGTATTTGTGAGTGTGAGTCTCAGAAGAGCAGGGCTGCAATTCTATATTGAATAAACAAAATAAACATACTTTAGTTCTTAAAGATCATAAACGGGAGATCATGAGTACGTTAGTAAAAAATAATACGTGAAGAACAAAGAGCAATTCATACTAAAAATGCCAAATTAGTGACACAACCTAAACATCTCAATAAGCTAATGTTAATATAATGTAAGTTAACGTTACTAGTAAATGATCATGGTTGACTTAAAAGGTTATGGTAACTTTAAAGGAATTAAATACTTTAACTATCGATATTTCGTGCTAATTAAAGGCATAACATGATAGAAAAATAAGTATAAAAGTCCGATTTAAGTTGAATTGACTAACCAGAGTCCATCTGAACTCCTGCCTGCTGCAGTCTCCTCTTGAGCAGCTCAATCTCCTGTCTGGAGCGACACATCTCCTCATTATACTCGGAAAATATGTCTTCCACAGCCTTGAATATCTCCTGCGCAGCTGAAGTTAATCGCTCTGTCAGAAAAACGCTTAAAATCTGCAGTTTGGACATTGTGCATTGATAAATATCACTGAAATCCCTATCGAGCTCTTATTTCCACATTCATAACAGAAATTTCTCGTCTATTGTTTTATTTGAGGTCATGCTGCTGAGCTCGGTGATAATCAGCGCCACGTGCCGGTCTGGATGAACGCTGCGTCCGACATTGAACAAACTCGGTCCTGGTCACTGCTTAGGCCACTGTCCTGCTGAATTTAGCTCCTCCAAACCTTATAAAACACACTTTAACCAGCTAATCAATGTCAACAGGTTCACTAAAAGGCTACAAGCAGGAGGGTTTTTATCAGGGTTGGAGCTAGCTTTACAGTTATACAGTACAGTCAGTGGCTCCCCAGGACTGAGTTTGCCCATCCCTGGCTTAGGCAGCTGACTTGCCTCGTTGGCAAGTCAAATTTATTTCGGACAGACTTCTACAGGCTTATTTAAGTAATAGTTAACATGACTTTGGTGTGGTTGACCAGAATATGATCTGATATGTATGTGAGAATCACCCAAGATGAGAACAGATCATCAAAAACCCTTCACCAGCCACTTAAGTTTTATTTGAAAATAAAATATTTCATTTTTTGGAGACATTTTTTTTTAGTATAACACTGACTGTAGACTAAAAAAGAAAGTCATATTTGATTTGTTTGTATTTACATACAAACTTTGTTTAGAGCTGACAAGGGAGTGTCACATTTGAGCATTATTATAGCATATTTACATGTAGGCTATGATGACAAAGGATTTTTGCACACTTCATTTAACTAGAATAAGTCAAATCAAATCAGCATGGATAAAACACTAAAGAATTAATTCAAGTAAGTACCTCTCTCTAAAAATCAGACAAAAGGTAATTAAATGTAACATTAAACTCAACACAAATAACTATTGAGAGGCAGTCAGTATACACTCCATAAAAAAAATCCTCTTCATCAACAGAGAATGGATGGTGTCCAATCAAGTTTACAGGTCCATGAAATATGTGGACTGTATCCCCTAAGTCAACATCAGGAGTGATTGGCCAGGAAAACAAATGGCTGACTCCACGCTGCTCCATCTTCATCCATACTCCTCTGTCAGTAAGATTCAAGAACTCCTTGGGTGGACAGGTGGACATTCCCTAAGAAATTCCATCTGCAAATCCTGAAATTACACAATAACAAATAAGACTGCTTTACTAAGTGTCATATACAAACACACACACACATAAAAAAATAAAAAGTGACCCCTGGCTCTCTATTCATAAATATGCTGTCAAATTGTCTAATGCTGGGGACACAATTAACCACTAGCTGAAGCATTCTAAGACTAAACTGAAAATACTGTTTCCAATGACTGGAGCAGATTTTAAACATAGACTGAACGCAACAGTCTCAGACTTGGTGCATTTGGGCATGATCAGTCGTAAGTATCAAATTGCATTCATAATCAGACTTACAGTCATTAAGTGTGTCCCCGGCCTAAGATGCCAATGGTGATTCCGTACATCAATGGCCTCAACTACTCAACTAGAAGTCAGCTTTATGAAACCGGGACCCTGGTATATGGATATAGGACTAATGATTGAAAAAAAAAAATTTCCCACCTGCACTTCAATAGGCCTTTTATTGTTTGTTTAATTACTTGTTTCTTGTCCCTTATCTTCTTGAAATAAATCCATTACCAAGTCATCAGTTGGAAGTTCTGAAAGGAGATTAATAGTGATATTGAGAGTAAAGTGACCCGTTTCTTCTCAAAGGTCTGACTTTATAATCTAAAATTGCTACTGCAGCTATATCTAAGTCTTAAATCAGTAGCCTATAGCATTTCAAGACTTTGATATAGCAGCAATGACCGGGGCCAAGCCCCTAATGGACATTTTTGGCAATGTTCTCAATCTCTTGACCTGTAGGTGGCGCTGTTCCCAAATTTGACTTGGACTCTCGGATCAAAGCCTACCAATTTTCGTTTAGATTGATCAAAGTTTGGATGAGATACAGCTTCTGATCCAATTTTGGGTCGACCTAGTTAAGTTCGCAAAATCATAACTTTTGAATAAAGATGAATAAAAAAAAAAATGGTTCAGTTATTTCTGTTTGGCTCAGTCCAAAGATGAAGTAACAAAGTAAACTTAAAATTCCAATACGGGGCATTGGCCCCTAAATATGCAAAAGATAATTGTCAAGAAAACATTGTATGTTAAGTTGGAGCTATAATCAAATGGAGCCCTTACCTGGGTTAGTAAGTTTCATCGAGATGATCTTCTATTTGTTCACCAGGATGTTGGTCATATTCACTTGTACTTGTAGCAGAATTATCAGGCACAGTGTTCTCATCTTCAGTCACAGGCTGGTATAAATCAACTATTTCAGCATTTATGTTCAAGGTACGTCGTTGCCAGGGAAAGACATAATTTGAGTTGGAACACTGGCTTCCATCATCAACATTCATACAGCCATCACAGAAGCATGAATACACACGAGTATCCAGGACCCCAGTAGAAACACAACGCACAGAATGGAGAAGACGAGTCCCAGCAAGGGCAGACTTTACTTGTGTTATAGGACGGTCACGCTGAATTTCATCTCGTTTAACCAGGTAAAATGTACGGAGTTGCCTATCGCAGCCATCTTTTGTCAAATTTAGATTGCAGAAATTAAACATCTCCTCTGCATTTTTGATAGTGATCCTATGTGACTGGACAGCACGTTGAACAGATGATTTTACAAACCCAGAGACACCATCACTGGGCCAGTTGCTGTGGTGGGATCCAAAGTAACATCTTTCAACAGACAAACCATGTGAAGCCTTGGAGTTGCTAATGTCAGCAAATGCCACCATTGACTTGTATTGTGCGGCACAACCATTTGTGAATTCAACTACATGCTCTAACTTCAGTCCTCGCTTTTCTTTTAGGTGCTTTATAGCCAGAGTTTCGAAGTGGTGAACGGCATTGGTATCGTAGTTGAGGTCATCAGAGACAAAAACCAAGGTTTCCTGGATGGTGTATTCATGACCCTCTGTGGGACACTTGTAGTAACAAATCATCGGGTGAATGGTTATCTGCTGTGTGGACCAATGTGCCGGCTGTATTTCGTCTTGGGATATGCACGAGTAATTTTCGGCAAAATCCATGATGAACAGCGACCAAGTGTTGGGCAACTTTTCCCGGATAAGAGAAAACTGTTCATGCTGCCAGTTGACTGTAAACAGATGTTTAGCCAAAAAGTCTGTTTCGCGCAATAACTCATCAAACATTGTCTTGAATGTGCCACACTTAGTCGATTGAAACTTCTTGGTCTTTTGTTTACCATCCTGGTTGAAAGTCTTACTCTCCCAATTTTGCCAGGACACTTCTTGTTTGCCATACAAATCTACAACCATTTTAAACTTTTCCTTGAGTAGTGATACACCACAGTCGGAGCAGGTTCTGTTAATGCACTTTAGATTATGGTACTTGCTGTTGCCACTTTTGGGACACAGAGAAAAACTGATAAGTTCATATTTGTTTTTGAGCTTGAGTTTTATACACTCGGCATTGTTAGTAGCAGTGAGAATTCTGTTCAGGCTCTGAAGCTTCAGTAAAACTCCAGTACAATATTCACAGAGAGACTGGCTTCTGTCAGTCCGACGCTGAAGAACACATGAAGGTCGAAGGCATGAGAAAACTGGAAAGGACACAACATTCTTTTCTGGATTTTCCAGCTTCCAAAGTTCATAGGCTTCCTGTAGAGAGATCTCCATGAGGAATCTTTGTTCTTGTTTCTTTACAGTCCTCATGTAAGGAAGTTCTCGTGCTACCTTAGGATTACGATAGAAAGCAGTTATATTGTTCACAACATCCATGCAAGTGGCATCAGACGTGCGTTTTTTATGTAAACCTTCGTTGGATGAGGAATATGCTGGACGGAGGTTAAAGCGCCTTGCTACAATATGTTGCATTCTGTACTTTTTGGCAACCATCAAACTAGTGACCATCAGGCGCCTCTTCTCCAAGGATGCAGCATCCTGCTTCTTCTTTAGAGCTTCAATCGTGGATCGAAGTTTTTCTTGAGATGGCTCATCAAAATCTATTCGTCGACAAGCTGTTTTCAGACCTCTGGCTTTTAAAGCTGCTTGTTTACGAGGAGTACAGCAATGGATGAAGTCCATTACAATGTCCGCAAATTTTTCTGCATCAGTCGGAATTTTTTTGCACATCTGTGACTCTGGCATTTGTTTCGCCAATTTAGTTCTAAAGCCTGTAGATCTAGCTGTACTACTTGGAGGGACAACATTTGTTTGTGGAGTCTCAGTTTGCCTTTTTGTCTGGTTTCTTTTTTCCCTCTTTCGGGACGCATCTCTTTCACGAATTAGTCTTTTCTTCAGTTCTCCCATTCTCTCCCTCTCCTCTCTTTTCTTTATCCTATCATACTCTCGTTTCTTCATCCTCTCGTTTCTTAGGTGGCGGAGGCTCTTTATCAGCTTTACACTGTTTTTCATCTGTTCTTGTACACTGTAACTTCTTTTTGGCTCTGAATCTTCTCTGTCGCTCACGGTTATTTTCCTTATCAACTTCGATAGAAGCAGCAGCCCTCTTTCTTCTATACTCCTTTGCTCTAGCAGCTTCCGAAGCTTTGAACTCAGCAAATTTTACAGGATCTTTTTTCAAACGATCCCTCCAGGCCTGACTGTATCTCGCATTTTTGGCTTTCCACTTGTCATGTTTTGACACTTCATCCTGACAGACAAAAGGTTGACTTTTATGCCCAGAGTTACGGAGCTGGATTGTCAAAGACATTCTGAAATGAAAATTGAAAGTTGATTTATTCAAACATGTATATCGGTGGAGGGAGTTTTAAAAATGTAACTTATAGAGTATATACATAATATAATAAAAGAGAATAATGTAGTTTACTCTATTCTATATGAAGAGTTCAGATGCAAAAGCCTCTAAATGCCATTTGAAATTTTCTTCTAGAATGATCATTTTTATCAAGCTTGTATATTTAAGTTCAGTGATTTCACCCTAAATGGCAATGATAATTACTTATTAATTGTTATTTAAGTGAAATTACTGAACTTAAATATACAAGTTTGATAAAAATCATCATTAAAGAAGAAAATTTCAAATGGCATTTAGAGGCTTTTGCATCTGAACTCTTCATATATATATTATATATCACAACATCAATGTCTGTCAAAAACATGCACAATAGTAGTATTTATGAGAAGCACAGGTCCAGGTAGTGTGTGTGTGTGTGTGTGTGTGTGTGTGTATATATATATATATATATATATACACACTGCAATTGTGAGTTATATTTATAAACATCATAAACATCAGCAGAGAGTCAAATTGAACGACTACAGGGACATATCTTAAGATTAGTGAATTATGAAAAAAGGGTAGAGTAGTTTGTGCATAATAAATGTCTGTCAAAATATAAGAAGAAATGAGAAATGTTTACTAATCTGTTTAAGTTTTTCAATTGGATTGGCATTTATTCTCTTTAGCATGCAGTGTGAAGGATTTCAGTTCCTTGATCATTCGGATTAAATTTCACAAATTTACACTCATAAATTTGAAATGTTTAAGATTTAAGATTTGAAATGATTACGTTGTAAGGTTGAATGGTGGCCATGAGTGTTTTATGTCGATGTTTTTAATTCTAATATTCCAACCGACAGCCAGCCTAAGTTTTTGACGAATGTGAAAGCGTATGTGAGGGGTGAACTATGATTTTTGGGTAATTATAAAACATTATAAGATGTTAGAAATGTTTTTTGCATGGCTCATTAATACGTATTTTACAGAATGAAGTTTATTTCGTGACTCAGTTTTCAAATTCAGTGTTTTGATGCACAAAGCCGTTTTTATTGTCTTATAAAACCAAAAAAAAAAAACAAAAAAAAAAAACGAAAATGCAGATCCTGTTGTAAATAATAGTTAAAAGACTAACTGTTGTACTATTATTAACCTTTAATAGATTTTGACTCTTGTGCAACAGTAGTTAGAGTACAGCAACATTTATGTAACAGTAAACATGAATGTGGTGTGGCTGACCAGGATGGTTCATTTTTGGAGACACTGTTTTACTGTTTTTTTTTTTTGTTGTTGTTTGTATAACAATGATTGTAGACAGCCTAAAACAAGAAAGTCATATTTAAGAAATTTGTTTGTATTTACACACAAATTTGGTTTAGAGCTGAAAAGGGAGTCTCACATTGAGCATTATTAGCGAATTAGATGTATGACAGGCAAAGGATTTGTGGCACACTTCATATAACTAGAATAAGTCAAATCAAATCAGCACGGATAAAACACTAAAGAATTAATTCAAGTACCGTTCTCTTATCTGAGCCAGCTCCATCCTATGCTGCGTCAACATCTCTTGATTTCTGAGGGGCAGCTGTAAAAACAACGACATCAATCAGCTCACATTTATAGCTAAGTGTCTTACAGTTCAATTAAAATAATAGGGCCTTGTCCTCCACTTTTCTATACAAGCTTGTATACAGTAAGCCACAGAATAAAAAAATTAAAAAGGTAATTGTGAGTTTTTATCTCACAAATCTGAACTTTTCTTCTTGCAATTGTGAGTTATATGTTTCCTATTTTTGTTGATGAATTGTGAGATATAAACTCAAACTTTGAGATAGCCTAGTCGCAATTTACTTGCAAGTTTATATCTCACTATTCTGAGATAAAGTCATGACTGAGTTTATATCCAATAGTTTATACCTCACAATTCTGGCTTTTTTGTCAAAGTTTGAATTGCTAGATTTAAACGTGCAAGAAAAGTCAGAATTGTGAGATAAAAAGTCACAATTATGTTACTTTTATGTATATTTTAAAAAAAAAGTGGCAGAAACTTGTGTCTTATGTTTGGGGGAGCAAACTTTGATTTTGCTGACATCACTGGATGCATCGCTGGCCCCTGAATCATCCAAGACGTGTCTTGAGATGTGTTGCTGTGCCTGACGGGTGGTACCTGTTTCAGTATCAGTCTCAGGTTCATTCTTAATTTGAGGTGCTTGATTAATAAATGGAAAAGTTTTCAAGCTGCTGTCCATCATTTGGGTTTCAGTGTCTTTACTGGGCATCTGATCATGGTAAATGTTAATACATGGTGATAAAGATGCTGATTCACGGCACACAGGTACTTGCAATTCATTCTCCTCCTGTTGTGTATAAACTTCTAGCTTCATATGCATTTCTGTATCCTTCAAGTCATGTTTAGATCTCCATTCTTCAGAAAATGCCTGGGTGTATTTCTGAGTGTGAGTCTCAGAGGAGCAGGGCTGCAATTCTATAATGAATAAACAAAATAAACATACTTTAGTTCTTAAAGATCATAAACGGGGAGATCATGTCATGAGTACAGTATGCCATGAGTATATTAGTAAAAAATAATACGTGAATAACAAAGAACAATTCATAATAAAAAAATGCCAAATTAGTAGACACCTAAACATCTCAATAAGCTAATCATGGTTGACAGTTAAATGGTTATGGTAACGTTAAAGGGATTAAAAACTTTAACTATCGATATTTCGTGCATAACATTGTAGAAATAAGATAAGAGTCCGATTTAAGCTGAGTGGACTAACCAGAGTCCATCTGAACTCCTGCCTGCTGCAGTCTCCTCTTGAGCAGCTCAATCTCCTGTCTGGAGCGACACATCTCCTCATTATACTCGGAAAATATGTCTTCCACAGCCTTGAATATCTCCTGCGCAGCTGAAGTTAATCGCTCTGTCAGAACAATGCTTAAAATTTGAAGTTTGGACATTGTGTGTTCATAAAATATGTCAAGATTGTATTTCCACAATCATAACAGAAATGTTTCGTCTATTGTTTTGTATGCATTAATCCTGATGAGCTCGGTGATACTCAGCGCCACCTGTCGGTCTGGGTGAGCGAATATACAAATCTTTTTCTTATCCTTACAAAAAATGTAATTTTATCATTTAAAATAAATTCATTATTTGACAGTTGCTAAAGGCAAATTGCAACTGTTTGATTTAAGCATTTTATTACAGCTTTGTAATTCAATATAATCATCCTATATCTGACTGGAATGTACATAATCCAGAGAATGTTTTAAACAAGTTTAAACAACAGTGTGAACCTCAAATGACTGTTTATCAATGTTAAACTATACATCAAATCCTTAGATAACAGTGGACATGTTTGGAACAGGGGAAGTTTGATTCAAGATTTGTTGAATCAATATGCATAATCTCTCCCCTCAACAAATTCAATTCACATCCTTTCACCAAAATAACACTCACAACCTCCTCTCTCCCTAAAATAAGGACCACTTTCTGTTACCATGGAAACAGCAATTTAACTCTTAGAAGAAAAGGTTCAAATCCCCAACAATGTCTGTAGTCCTACAGCACCAAATCACCAGAAATCATGAGTGGGGTACCGGTGTATTAGTATTTTATAAGTATTTAGAAACAGAACATCAACATCAATTGAAGAGTTCAGATGCAAAAGCCTCTAAATGCCATTTGAAATTTTCATCTTTAATGATGATTTTTGTCAAACTTGTATATTTAAGTTCAGTAATTTCACTTAAATAACAATTAATAGGTAATTATCATTGCCATTTAAGTGAAATCACTGAACTTAAATATACAAGCTTGACAAAAATCATCATTAAAGAAGAAAATTTCAAATGGCATTTAGAGGCTTTTGCATCTGAACTCTTCAATTAGAAACCAACCTCAACTTAAATACTGAATTTAAACAAAACAAAACAATATATATATATATATATATATGATCAACGAGTTATGATAACATGATCATTAAGCACATTGCTTTAACTCTTAAAAACTAAGATCAAGGAATCTTCAATTAAATTAAGCAATTTTAAATTACGTTTTTAAATAGTCAGTTTAATGTAATTTAAGTTGAAATGACTAAAACATCTAAGTTGACTGTAGGCCTACTTAAAAATGTAAGCAACTTATTTTTCCAGATTAATATCAGAGGAGAATAATTACACATTTGGTCAAACGCACATGGCCCTTGGAGTGTGTGTGCGGTTAAGAGCAGATTTACAGTGCTGTGAAGAATAAGTCATTGTTTGACAGGGCCAGCTGTCAGCTCCACTCTTCCTCACGACAGGCCTTGCCTGGCCACCTGCCTACTATTCTCCAACTATGGTCACAAACTCTCTCCTCAGACCACCTCAGATTAGTGCCAAAACACATTTATTGCTAATTGCCATTTTGTATTGTTCAGTATTAAAAAAGTAACCAGTTGCTCTTCTCAAAGAATCAAATATAATGTCCATTTGGAGCTGTTTAGACAAAACACCTTACATACAAATCAATCATTTATTTTACATGATTTACATGATATTTTATCGTTCAAAGAATTTGGGGTCAATATGATTTTTTTTAAAGGATGCAGTAAACTGATCAAAAGTGACAGTTTAACTATTTTACTGTAAAAAAATATTCTTGGTTTAACTTAAAAAATTAAGTAACCTGGTTGCCTTAAAATTTTAACTTCATTGAAATGGAAAAAAATAGTTAATACAATGAAGGAGATTGATTTAATCACCAGAAACTCAAAATATTATGTTATCTGAACTACATAAATTATTTAAGTTGATATGACAAAAGAAAAAAAATGTGATTACAAATCAGGAAAATATTTTTTACAGTGTTGAAATAAATCCTGTTTTTTGTGTGTCATAGTTTCCACAAAAATATTAAACCGTTGCAATATTGACAATAATAAGAAAAGTTTCTTGAGCAGCAAATAAGCATATTTGTGATTTCTGAAGGATCATGTGACACTGAAGACTGGAGACCTAAGCAGAAAATTAAGCTTTGTCATTACAGTTTTAAATCTATAATCTATTTAGATTATAAGTTATTTTTAATTGTAATTTTAGATTTTTAATAAAATAAATGCAGCCTTGGCGACCATAAGAGAAACATTTTTACCAACCCCAAGAGTATACAAATGAAGCCTAGAGAAATGGAACAAATTACAATATGTATCCACAAGAAAAAATGCAAAAGTAAGTAAAAAGAAAACTACTTAAATATAAAAAAATAATAAAAATTTTTATATATATATATATATATATATATATATATATATATATATGAGCATTTATTTATAAAGAACATTACATTTTAATCTATACATTTTAATCTATCACAATATACAAATTTACTAAAACTGCTAAGAATGCATCTTAAATTAATGTTTCTTAAAAATGATCACTGGATAATAAAGTTGTGTTTGATCCCATGTTGCATCAGCATTGCAAATCAGTCAGAACTCAGTGATCCAAACAAGATTGAGAAAAAAAAAACAGTGACACATCAGATGCCACTGTGTGCTGGCATGAACATGCCACAGACATGTCAGCACAGCTACAACATAACTGTCATTCTGTGTCGTCCCAACGCCCCACAAAAACACTCTGCAACATGCCACTAACCGGCGCCTCCTAAAACACAGTTCTGTCGTAAACAAGCCTTTATGCTTTCAAACACGTATAGTAGAAAAAAGGTTGTGTTATGTTTATGTAGGAAGCTGCCTTGACTGGAACCTGTCTTTGTTTATCAAGTCACTGAAGTCAGGGATATGCTTGGTATCTGTGCCACTTTCCTAGATTTGCATTCCAGTGACTGGGATGTTTACACTATTCCGTTTATGTCTCTTCAAGTAAGAGTAACCGTATCTGCATCATGGGCATTCTCAACCCGTCTTCAATGTTGTCTAACTATTTGGTCGCTCCAGAAACCAAAGCGCTAAATTTGTGCTACTGGTGACATGGGAGAAGGTCACTGGAGCCCAGAGGCGGATATAAACAGTGAGGGACGAGCAGAGAAGCTTGTAGGCCATATTTTTACTCGCAGATAAAGCCTGGCACGGGGCTCAACTTTCCTTAACGTCCCAACTGGAATCCAGACATGGAAGACAAACAAAATTAGGACCATTGCCGACATAGTTTCCGCAGAGAACATTTGAACGGGGTCCCATCCCTGCCCCACCTTTTCGAATGGATGTCATATACAAGTAATGATCACAAATGTTTGAATGAAAAAGCGTTACGATTTCCATGCATTCGTCTATGGAATGATCGCCTTTAACTGCTGAGAATGAAAAATATGCACGTCTTTGAAATCTCTATTTCGAATTCCAAAGACTATATCAAGTCCACGAACTGCAGAGAAAGATGCTATTTTGAGAAGCATTCCTGGATGTTCGTGGTATTGAGGCATCAGTGGAGGTCTGTGGGTGACAATCAAATGGAATTCAACAGGAACACACACCCTGTTATGTGAAGAAGAAGAAGAAAAAAAACAGAATAGATATCCAATCTTGATCTTGACTGACGCAAGTCATAGGCGATCCATTTTTAGCAGTTATAGGCCTACACGACATGAAAATGCAGAGGTGCTTTTTTCCATGATGTCTCCTGAAGGGCAATGCAGCATATTATGAGGTTTAATGGGTTTGCCAGCTGTTCTATGAGGCTCTTGTCGAGAGGTGTTTCCACCAGCTTCCCACATGGACAGCCGCCATGATGGTGCACTTAGAAAGTGATGTATCGTTAACGGCTTGTCTGGTCTATTTAAATGACCCATGAGAGGCCGCAGTAGCACTGCCACAGTTTAAGATGATGATTGATAGTTTTCCTTGTGAGGTTGATCCCGTCGTGGAATACATGCTAATTGGGCACATCTGACGTATAGAAACAATCTATCCCTGAATGAGATGAAAGCAAGGTTAAAGGGTAAGTTCACTCAAAAATTTAAGTTCTGTCTCATGTTGTTCTGAACCCTTAAGACATTCGTTCATCTTCGGAGTACAAATGAAGATATTTTTTAATGAAATCAGAGAGCTTTCTGAACCATCCATAGACTGCAATGCAACAACCACTTTCAAGGCCCAGAAAGGTAGTAAAGACATTAAAATAGTCCATGTGACTACAGGGATTTAATCTTATGAAGTGACAAGAATCCTTTTTGTGTGCGAACCCCTCCAAAAATAACGACTTCATTCAACAATATCTTCTCTTCCACGTCATTCTCCTAGATATAGTAAACACGTCCGGGTTCTGCAGCAGAACGGAGCCTCACTATTGGCCGACGGTGGTTACGAGCACTACGACACATGCGTGTGATGCTGAAGTAGGAGCTGGCCAATAGTGAGGCGGTGTCCTGACTGAAAGCGCTTGGATCAAAAACATCTTCATTTGTGTTCGAAGATAAATGAAGGTCTTATGGGTTTGGAACGAAATGAGGGAGAGAAATTAATGACAGAAATTTCATTTTTGGGTGAACTAAACCTTTAGCACTTCTGATGTTTTAGTGAAAGGAATTAGGCCCTAGTTTTAAATATATTGTTTTTCCATATGCATATACTCCCATTCAAAAAAGGATTTTTTTAAAAGAAATTAATATTGATATTAAATATTCATTCATTTAGCAAGGATGCTTTAATGAATGAAAAATGTGACATTCTGATGTCATGAAATGGCGTATGTATGACACACCAATTCGTATTTCCATTTTTGGTGTGCTATCAACACGCATAATCGCTTTTCAGCGTGTTTATGAACGCCGTTGACTTAACGTTACATTACTGTATAAATATATGACCTACCCCCAACCCCGTCCCTAAACCTACCCGTCACTAGGGTTAATACCATTTATGAGACTTCCCCTAACATCCAAGGAAAAAATATCGCTCCCCAGATGTAAATCTACATTTTGCTTCGTTTCACTCGGACAATTAACGGCGTGTACATACATAACACAGTCTCATCCCAAAAAGTCATATAACTGACGTTTTGGGA